TTTCTTTTTTTTTTTTTTTTTTTTTTTTTTTTTTTCTAAAAGGTTTGGTGATGGTACTCTAGGGGAGTAAGGGGTCAAATTGTGTGGATGGGTCTTACAAAATTAAAATTTTATATATATATATAATATACTTTTTAAATAATGATCGTGATCCAAATTTAATTTTTTTCTAATATTTAACTAACATAAGAGAGAACTTGAAGAAACACTCGAGAGAGAATTGATTAGAATGATTTTCTCTCTCTCTCTCTCTCGAGTATTGTCTCCGAGTTTTTACAATTATTATTTAAAATTTCAAATATATATAATACAATAACGAATTATTTATTAATATTTATAGTACGTGTTTCTACTTCTATAGGGTTGTCTAATTTGTGATTTACGTATTACATAGTATCCTTACTAAAAAATGATCATTAGTTATTCTTCGAACACACTTATGTTAAAATGATATTTATTTTTTTGATGGAAGGTGGGGTGGGGGGTGTGGCTTTCTTGCTTATTTTTTTTTTATCAAGTTAACACCTCCCCCTCCCCCTCGTCTCAAAATGTTTTACGTTATTCGTTTCAGGACAACGTTCACGTTCTCATTTAATTTTGTTAGATTCAGTTTTATCCTTTATAGAATCAACATAGCAATCTTTTTTTTTTCTTTTCCATAATCGATAATTTTTCTTCGGAAAAAATCGTCTTCGTTCGTTTCGCTGCAAGACCCTTCTGAAACTCAAAAAAGAAAAATATATATATATATATCGTTATATTATAAAAGAAATATGTTTTTAAACAAATGTTTCCAATTATGTAGTTGTGGTTTATTTTTTTCAATGATTTTTCGTATAGTCCGAATTTATTTGTCGAAGTACTTGGTTGCATATTGTCTCACGATGATACAATATAATTGGTTTTTTTTTTTTTTTTTATTAACACCAGAGGTTTTACAAGTTGGATCAGTTGTGTTGGTTGATTCCAAGTTCGGAGAGTCCCACCATGGCCCGGAACACCTGTGGAAAATTCGTTCGATTAGTATGCGGAAAAAATGAACAATAAATTTTCCCTTTGAGATTTGGTGCCTTCTAATTCTTGTTATAGTCGTTGTTCTTTTTCTTCTTTTTCTTGTTCTTCTTCTTTTTGGTGAGAAAATATTAAATCGTAAGAAAAAGGTGTCCTGTTGACGATCCCTTTAAGACAAAAATTCTCAACCTTTTATATTACAAATTGAACACTTTTGTGTCAAAGAAATATACATTTGGTGTATTATTTTTTTATTAGATTAACCCGGAAAAGTTCGTATTATTTATAAACAATGTAATGTAATACTTTTTTCATTTAAATGTTTATTACAAATATAACAAAAAAATTTATATAGCATAACAATTGCAAAAGGCCAATAATAAAATGAAAAATTGTATGCGTACGCACAAATGTACACACATACAATTTATTATAAAATATAATTTTAATATAAACATATAGGTTTAATTCAAGATACTGGTGTACAACCCCATAGATTGAGAATTCTTGTTCTTATATTTCAGGAGTCGTATCAAGAGGACTCTCCATAGAAATTATTTTCAATTTATTTTCATCTAACTATTGTGATATTTCTTTTTTTTTTTTTTTTCTTTTTTGAAATATCATCTTTCACGGGTCGATAATTCTTATTTTATGTAAGAATAATGAAAAAAAATATTAGCGTGTATCTCTCTTAGAGGAAAAATAATGATAATAATTAAAATTAAGATGGACAAAAAAAAAATAGAATAAAAAAAAAAAGAAAAAAGAACTAATAGATAACGAGACAGGGAGCAAGTTTATTGTCTTTCTAGACTTTATTATCATTTTTCAATCTGCTCTATAATCGAATACAAGATTCTCTCTCTCTCTCTCTCTCTCTCTCACTTTTTCTCTAACTCTCACTCTCAATCTCACTTTTTCTCACTACAAATTGACAAAGAAAAAAAAGAAGAAATAAGGAAGAAGAAAAAGTAGGAAAAAAAATAAACGCGTGTATATGTATATACGTATAAAATAACGGGGAAGATATATATCAAACAAAAAATAAAAATAAAAAAAAAACAAGGGGAAAAATAAAATAAAATAATAATAATAAACAATTGTGAAATAAAACATAAGCGCTTTTCTGGAATGTACGAAAGATCGAAAAATAATATAT